CTTTTGAGCTATGCTTTTCGAGTCTATTTGGTGGTTTTTGGGCTTTATTTTTTTTAATGCTGAATTGGAGGACTTTTGGGCCGATCAAAACACTATCTTGGAATAGATTTAAGCACTCCTCTCGGAGTTCGATTTAATTACAGTTTTTGAAAGAATTTAAACGTTTTTAGGCCGATTCAGTTACTGTTTCTCTCCTTGACTTTGTTAGTTTTGGAAGTGGGTCGGCATTCTCTTTTTTTATTTTATTTATCTTGTTAAATGATTAAGTCAAAATTGAAAATTTCTGATTTAATGATTTGGAAAACACTTAAAGATATTTGAGGATTAGTTGGAAACACTTAATTGAGAGTAAAACACTTTAAATTACTTCAAGCTCAGGTTAAAGTGTAGGTTTCTTAGATTTTATGAGCACACTCTAGATAGTAGTTCACCTACCTAATTTTCAAATTAATGATGAAACTAGGCACTTGACCTTAATTCACCAATTGATTAAAATATTAAACATGAGGATACACCAAGATGTGACGCACGTTTTCCGTAATTAAATCAAATAATAAAATTCCCGTCATGACTTGACCCACAATGAAACCCAATGCACCTGAATTTGAGTTTGAACATTACACTCAAATCCTTCTGGCAATTGGGGACATTTGTTAATGCCACATATGGATCATCGAATTAGAATAAGCTAGGGCCTAGGTGGCGAGAGCGATGATGACATTGCTTATCTGTGCTTAAACGAGGGATACGAAGTGAGATTATCAGAATAATATCTCCTATCTCAATGATCTTCAATGACGGGAGAGGAAAAAAACCGATGATACTACTCGCTAACTCTTGGTGAGATTGTTGCCCCCGATACTCCTAAGTCGCCAGTAGTCCTAGCCTGATTAGAGTAATTAGTCTGTGGACTGCACTGCTTTACAAAATATTTACAAAAATAAAAATAAAATTTCTTTTGTCTGTTAAAGTGAACTCTGTATGTAAGTCTAAACAACAACTTTTGCTTGAAAAAATCAAAAAATTTTGGTAAAGCTTGCAAAGGTCCACGGGTAGTCACTTAGATTGAGGTTAAGGACTGCCTTTCGTAGATTGTCGGGTTGGTAGCTCTTATTCAAGGTTGGGAAGCACACAGTACAACTCTGAGCCCCCACATTTACTGATGTTTTATACCTATTCTTGGTCTTCTGTATGTGACCACAGGCTTTGCTTTGCCTTTTCGTGTTTGGTTACGACTCGTTTTGTTGTTTTTCACTATACAATTCCTGTTTTTTTTTTGCAATTTATCTAAATTCGCTGCAAATTATAAACTAACCATGCAGCGGTAGCTGAAGCTCAGTTACACATTTTATTTTATGCACTGCAGTTCCATTATTTACTATGCAGTACTTTCTTACCTGCATTCATTTACTTTACATACAAAATCAAAGCATTAAAGCATACATGGTAGAACCATTTGAACCTTAGACTTTACGATTGTTATTTGAACAAGGAGCTTAGAGCATACGCCGTGAGCAGCGTGTCGAGGACCTGCAAAAGGACATCTTCGAGAGATCAAACAAGTCTACAACAACAAACCTCTCCTTAGAATTAAACAATAACAACTCATAGGACTTCGAGGTAGCTCGTCCAACGCGACGTAAATCCTCATATCCTATTTAGGCCCCTGCACAACCATATTGTGTAGTTTAAGTCCTAACTCGCCTTAAGTTCCGAGGCTGTTGTGTGGTACGACGTAAACCCTCCTATCTCTGTGGGCTATTTGCATAATCATATATTATACCTGGGCCCATCGCCAAGGTATACACTTATCTTTTGGGAAGATGAAATATGTGCGATATCAGACACGATTATGCAAACTATTAGACTAATGAGATTCATTTGGTCTCATTTTTCAAAAATTTAAACATACTAATTTCAAAACTCAATCTATATACCTATTATATTAAATTAAATTTAAAAATTATTTTCAAAATAAAAAAGAAGTTGGCCGACAATCCCCCCCCTTGATTTAATGAATAATAGTTATCATCTCTCGCAAAAATACTATGTTTACTAAGAGCTGGTGCTTCTAGCTTTTGGATTGATATACAATTTAACCACAAGTGATGTTTGCAAATCATAACATATCATTTTCTCTCTTGTTTCTTATTCTTGAATGTCCCACCACCTTTTCAAAGCCTTGAGTCTCTTGAACCGTCAGAAAATTCAAGTCATACACTTTCAACAAAATCCTAACTTTTGCTATCCACCTTTTGTGACTAGTTCGTATAAAAAATTTATAACTTTCTTAACATACATCCAATTAACTTAAAACCACAATCACTGGTTAGTTAACATCCCAAACCTCTGATTTGGCATTTCTCATTCTTTTCCATCAAAGAAAATCTGGCCATCTACTTGAGAAAGTCTCGTATAAAAATCTTTTTAGAATTTTTAGACTAGTAAAATTTTTCTTTTAGCTTTTCACCTTTCGTCTAACAACCTTCAAATTTATTACCACCTTCCAATCATTTTCCTTGCATGCTTTACCCATTACCCAAAGTTTTGGTATTCAAAACCTCAACCTCCTAGGTCACTTTTTTGAATCATGATCAGAATGATCTTACTATCAAATAGGTCCCTCAACTAAATATTTTGATGTAAATTCTTTTTCTCTTATTAAGCTAGAGGTTATTAAGTTTGAGTAGATAGTATACTCCGAACCTTCAATTGGCTATAATGCTACAATTTTTTATGGAAGTTTTGCGTAGTTGTATGTTATGAGATGTATTTTCACATCCCAACTACTTTCGAGGATTTGAGAAATGGTAGCATGCTTCAAATGTTTGCAACTTTCTTGAATGTGTGCATATTAATGCAGTATGTAGAACTATGCATGTACAAAATGAGACCTATCAGCTCTAACATGAGCAAAAGCAGAATGACTATCATGTACACGTTTCAACAAAAAAATGCTCTGAACAACAAGCTGAGCATAGTGATGGGCCGCTTTGTTATTGTTTCAGGCAGTGTGGCAAAAAAGGACTTGCCTGAACTGAGTTAAAAAAGCAAACTCAAAGTCTTCTTCCATATAGGCTTGCCGAACATGGTGCTTCTAAGGAAGGAAATGACACTATAAGTGTCTCCTTCATCAAGGATGCCTTTAGCTTTAAACATCCAAGGGTCAATGATTTCTTTAATGTACTAAATGGCTTTGAGTTTCACTTGGGAGCTATCCTAATGCAAAAGTTGATGACGTGAAGCAGCTAAGCACCTACCCTTTTCACATTGCTTAGGAAGGTGTTGATGAGAGGGATTTAATATTGACAGACGCAATAATAGTTGGTGTCTCACATAAGTTCTCCCAGGTTTTTTCACATGTCTTTCACGCCAGCTATGGTGGACAGCATATCAGATATTTCAAGGATAATACGTATGAATTAGTCATAGATTCATGAATAACTTGACTTCTATCGTGAGAACATCCTCGGAGTCATTCTTACACTTAATCCACTTGCAACTACTTTTTTGTGTACTGGGTGTACTAGAAATCCTTGCCCATCACTGGACTATTTATCTTCTATTTTGTTGGGTAGTTACAAAAATAGGAATTATTGTGATGTCTTTCATGTGAATTGAACATTTCATCCTATGCGGCGTATATTTAAAACCCACTATGTACATAATAAACTGTATGCCTCAAAGACACATCTGGTTGTTTGTTCCACTATTAGACCTTCTGTGTTTTACCCTATGTATCCGGACTAACCTAGCTTTTAACAGCTGTTAAGCTATCTAGTTTGATTAGATTATCCAGGTTCTTGATCAACACTAGCACTCACCCAAGTAGAGAAATCTTTTATTTGCCAAAGATTAAGCTCCAAAAGTTTTTTGATCTTTTTCATTCTCTACTTCATGCACATTTGGACCCTACAACGTCAAAGATTAAGCTCCAAAAGTTTTTTATTCTCTACTTCATGCACATTTGGACCCTACAACGTAATTTGAACATCATAAATTTAATTTAGATGATGAAGTTAGAAAGCGAATTGACTAGTGATAGAAAACATTTTAAAACTATGAATGTGAAAAGAAGTGCTGATAAGTATAATGATTGTTTCTTTGTCATGAGTATCATCATTAGTATACATCTCAAGTTCATTTTGCAACAAAAATTGCATGCAGCAACTTGCAGGCCTTTTCATATAAGAAGGAATGTCAATTCAAAAGCTTATATTTTAGATTTGCCTCTTGACTTGTTCATAAGTTCTATTTTCTTTGTAGAAGATTTAATGCATTATCCGAGAACTTTTGAAACTTGACGTTTGCCTTTTGTTTTTTCTAGAAGAGGGATTTTTAATCTATACAAGTAAGTTACCTCATATTGATCCATTTTTCACATAGCAAATACAATGAGTAAAAAAGAGTTGAATCGTACAATGGCAATATTGACTTGTATGGGTATGAGTGTTAGGCCACAAAAAATTATGAAACCAAGCTAATTGTGCACAATCGAGAATGCTAAGGGGAATGTGTGGTTTTAGTAGGATGGATGGAGTGAGAAATGATTATAATATTGATAAAAATGTTGATAGTAGCACATATTAATGATAAGGTTATATTAAATTGATTTAACTAATTTATGCACGTCAAGTATAACGTGCACTGAGAAGGATTGGGTATAGAACCAGTGTGAAGGATTGGTTGAAAAGGGGTGGACAATGAATAAGATCGGTGAAAATTGTGTGGAGAGGTCCTTGCCAGAGTTAATATTAGATGTAGTACTTCAACAAGAGTGGTGACAAAAATTATTTATCTTGCCGACCAAGTTTTTGAAATAAGGATGATGTTGATGATAACGCCCATCACTCCAAGGAACTTTTTAAGTGCCCACATGCACTACTCACTCTAATTGTGGAATTATTAATATATTTTCTTTGACAAATGAAGGCCTACATGCTCATTTATATTACGTACTATTTTACCATTTGATCCCTGATATTCTTCTATATGGACAGTGTTTCATCACATCCATGTCGTGCTGCAACATCTCATGGCGATTATAAAATGCGTTGTGACATCATAACTTGCAGTTCTGCTTTCATCTCACTTTTGGTGTCCGGTAGTTTGCAGACTTGTGTCGATGATCAGGTAAAACTTTTGGGTATTTTTGCTCTCCATCTTCTTTTGGATTGCTTGAATCATGTTTTATGTGCATTTTGGCTGTCAAACTGCAGCTTGTGGAAAACCTCATAAAGTATGAACTCATTGATAAAGGACAGCTAATCCATGCTCAGTCATGTTGTGAGGAAAACAAGTTTTGTAGCCGGCCATTAAGTACTGATTGCATAGCTGCAGGAGCATCTGTCTTTGAAGTTTGCATGAAAATTCCACGCTGGGCTTTCCAGGTTCCATTCTTATTAGCATAAGTACTATTTACATTGTCAAATATGTTACCCTGTTCCTGTTAGAATATTGGTTTACATGAGAAATGTTTTTTCCTGTATATAAAACTTATTTTGATTTTATTTAGTCAGCATCATTCTGAAATCGTATATGTAACAGTTGCATACCTTTTTAGACTTCGGATGCCTAGAGATTAAGAAAACACTTGCAGTTGTGCGAGAACCCGGCCATTGTTATGTCTTAAGTTTGCAATTCATGTTTTTCTGGATCCACAGAGCTCAATTATCTTAATTTATTTTGAATAATTGCCTTGCATCATTCCATGACTATGTAATCTTGCTGCTGTACAGATTCTAAAGCATCTTGCATGTGAATTTTCTTGCCGTAGCCTTGTCACCCTTGGCATTGCAAGTATTCATGGCATTGCAGTTGCTTCTTTTGAAAAGGAAGATGCAGAGCGCCTACTTTTCTTTTTTTCTAGAAATGGAAAAGATTTGTCTAAGGAAGATACTAACCTTTCTGGTCTCCCTATTTCATACTCCGTCACCGATATTATATCAAGTGCTAGACCTGAAATTGTGATTGATGGAAATTGGAAAGATTTCAATACTCTATGTTCGAATGTTAGCAAGAAACAAAATCAAATGACAAGAGGGGCTTACTTGCAGGGATTAAAGGTCGCTGCTATGAGGCCTATTCCTCATTTTCGGAGGCAGAAAAATATTTGTTTTCCTGTTGCAGATACTGGAAAGCACTTGAATCTTCAGGAACAAGCTGCAACCTCTAGAACATGTAAAAAGTTGTCTTCAGCTTCTCTGAGGTATGGGATTTTTTCACATGGCGGGCACCAATCAAAGTCCCGGGAGCATTCAACATCTTCTAGAAAACATAATTCAGCAATACCTGGAAGCTCTGTATCAAAACCTGCCTCTTCAATGCAAATAAGTTCCACAACAAAGTCAGCTTCTTTTTTTAATGAGGATTCCACATCTATTCACAGATTAGCTTATTCTATTAGAAGAAGGTCAGAGGCTAAATCAGACCTTGCAAAGCAGAGAATTTCTTCAAATCCAATACCATTGAAGAGACATGAGTGCGATCGTTGTTCAATTCATGACTGCTCGGAAGTAAGCTTTTTTATAATATAAGTGTTTTGTTTAACATCTGTGTGGTTGATAATCCTTTATTTTATTTTCTAGGAAGAATTTCTGAAGGATTTGGTAAAGTTTCTTATTCTTAGGGGACACCAACGGCTGGTTCCCCCAGGAGGACTTTCTGATTTTCCTGGTGCTGTACTCAATGCAAAGCGTTTAGACCTGTTTTGCCTTTATAAAGAGGTTTGTTTTCAGAAGTTCAATGATGAAATATTTCTTTCCTGCAGAAGGCTTTCCACTTGTAACATCTTCCTGCATGGTAATTTGAATTTCCTATTACAAATTTGCTGTTATGTTAATTCAGGTGGTTACCCGGGGAGGCTATTATGTTGGGAATGGCATAAATTGGAGGGGGCAGGTTTTCTCTAAAATGAGCAACCATTCAGTCAATAATAAAATGACTGTAAGTTCACATGTCAAATGGATATTCTATCATATTTCTAATTTTAAAATGTATAAGATATGCTGATAGTTGTATTCATGAATCATAATGCAATCTATTATTGTCGATGAAAGGCTCATTGATTTTTTTTTTTAATGAAAGGCTTACTGATGTTTATAAATGAAATAATTTCTGGGTTTTACAAATGATAAGTGCGAAGACCATTTGTTTTCTTAAATGTGTACCTCAAAATTGATATCTAATGTACTAAAGAATTTAAATCTTCTTTTTGAATCACTAAAAAATGTTTTGCCTTTCAATTTTGTGCATTGGAGCGAATCTTATGTTACCCAATTCAAGTTCTTGTTGGATCAGTTTAGAAAATACATGATGGCGATTTTACAATAACGAGTGATTGGTAATATTGGATTGAAGTAATAGTATACTAGCTAGATCACAAAAAAATGCTAAAATAAGTTTACAATTTTAAAAGAAAGATAAAGTCTTAAAATCAGAAAGCTAAGAAAAATTATAATTAAAATATCTAAGGTAGAAACTACCAATGTGACGTGACAAATGCCCGTCTTAAAACAAAATTTACCATGGTTGAAATTGCTCCAGTGGTAATGTTTCACCAACCAAATGAGCTGGATCTGCTACAATCTTTAGGGGTTAGCTTGTAAGGTAATTTAATTTGTAGGTTATATCTGATAGGTATAAACAAGAAGATATCATGCATACAAAATATACGATGGGTTGCATCAATATCAAGGCATAATATACAAAAAAATTGCTATAACTAATTCAACCATGCCATTGATATACAAAAAAATAATCCTTTTGTCTAGCAGATAAATGAACTGTTAACGAAACATGCTGTAAAGATCATAAAATCACATTGTAATCCTGATAGCAATATATGCAAGATAAAATTGACAATGAGCATTCACAGATGTATGCATGTATGTATGTTTATATGCACATATCTTGAATCTAAGTTGTAGTTAGTCAATTCCCAATTTGTGCTGTTGGCTTGTTGGTTTGGTTAGGCATATTTAATAACAATCAAAATAGTACCATCATTTATCATATCATCGGTATTCTAAAATATGCAATTTTTAATTATTTTGTAAGCAAAGCACAACACTAAGATATCCAAAGAGTATAAATGAACATGACCTGATATCATGACTCTGAAGGGGATAAGTGAACGATAACTATACCATTAAATTATCCATTGTGACATAAATGCCGAATATATTAAGTAAATTACATCATAGATTAATAAGTACAACATCAGTAAGACCAATAACAAATATCAATAGTAATGCTCTTAATGTGGAGTAATATGTTTATCCACAAAAAAATAAACCAGCTAACTTAGGGTGCAATTCTTGTGTTACAACGCTATTGTGATTTAGTTGCATTTAGGGCAGCTTTTTAGCTGCAGTGTGGTAGCTAAACGCAGATTTTGGTGTGGATAAAAAGTTGCGGCTGCTTTTTTAGATTATTTGAGTAAACCGCTGACCGCAGGGTTTGACCTTGCGGTCCGCGTTTTGTTCACGAAATATTATCGGATTTCCCTTCCTTTCGATCTTCTGCCCTAGCTCCTCCTCCTCTCCACCCTATAACTTTGTTCGGCGGTTCTGATGGCATTTCTTTCTCCTACCTTCGTCCCTTCTCTATGATATTCGGTTCTAGTGTTACTCTCCCATTTCCAAGCACTTGTAATCCCTACCCTACACTATTGGCATTGGTGTTTGCTTATGGTTTGATGTTTTCCATTTTTGGCTTGCTTCCTACGATTAATAGCTTTGGTTTTTTTACATTTTTGGTTTTTGTGTTGTAGCCCGTGCTGCCTTTGCTCTATCTTCCATCTATGTGAGCCTCTATGCGATTATGGCAATTTTCTTTACTTGTCTGGCTTGTGCTCTCTCTTATATTTTGGAAGGGTATGTGGGAAGAGCATGATTTGAATCCCTAAGCGAATGTTGACTTTTACGTTTTTTGTGATTCAGCTCTTGTGATTTTCTTTTGCCACTGCTGAAAAGATTTTTTTTTTCTTCATAGTGTGGCCTGTTTATTTGGGGCTCTTCCCTCTATTTCATTTTTGGTTAATTGGAGAAGTCTTGCTGCTCTTCTCATTAGTTGACCTTGTTGGTGGTTTGCCCTCTTTGTTAAATTAAGCAATGCTATGTTGGTGGTGATGTTTGTAGCGGTGGTGTAGGTGATATTTCTTTTGTGCCACAACAGTGTGTGTTGTTGCTGGTGATGTGCCATGGCGGTGTGTGTGTATATTGGGTGTGGTTGTTTTGTGCCATGGGGTTTTGTTGACATGGTGGTGGTAGTGGTGGTGGTGCTATTGGTAGTGTGTGTAGATGTTGGAGGTGGTTCTTCAGTGTCATGGTGGTGGTGGTGTTGGTGTTGGTGGTGTTGGTGGTGTGTGTATTTTGGGTGTGGTTGTTTTGTGTCATTGCATTTTTTTGGCATGGTGGTGGTAGTGTTGTGGTGTTATTAGTGGTGTGTGTAGATGCTGGTGTGGTTCTTCAGTGCCATGGTGGTGTGTGTGTGTATGTTGGGTGTGGTTGTTTTGTGCCATGGGATTTTGGTGACACTTTGTTGACATGGTAGTGGTGTTGCTGGTGGTGTCGTTGGTGGTCCGTGTAGATGTTGAGGGTAGTTCTTCCGTGCCATCATGTTGGTGTTGTTTGTGGTGTGTAGATGTTGGTATGGTTCTTCAGTGCCATGGTGGTAGTACTTTTGGTGGTGATGTTGTGTCATAGTTGTTTATAGTGGTGTTGTTTGTGGTGATGTTGGTGTTTGTGGTTTGTTTTGATGTTTCTTTTTAGTTGCTTTTTCGAGTTATGGTATTTTAAATGACACTTTGTTTTTCCTCTACTATACTTTAATGTTGCTTGATTCTTTTTAATGCCAGTATCATCATGGTGAAGAGAAAAGAAATTGGTTCGTCTGCCATGTGGAATGAAGATGTCGAAATAATATTTTGAGACCTGTCTTAAAGAGGTGGAATTAGGAAATAGACTAACCACTTATTTTAACAAGGAGGGTTGGCAATATAATAAAGAAGTTAAAGGAACACACAAAAAGGGAATATGATGGTATGCAATTGAAAAGCAAGTGGGATCAGTTAAATGACTAAAAATATGGAAATAGTTAAAGCGTGGATCCATAGGCTTGAGTTGAAACCTGATAAAGCGAACCATCAATGATTTTTAAGAATGATGGGCCGAGAGATTGGATGTGAGAATTTATGAAACGTGAAGTTCCTTACTGATTATTTATTTATTCAATTACATCAACATATGAATAATCCATTAATTTGTAGGTCGTTCTGAATGTTAAAAAGTTTATATTCAGTGTTATCGACCTTGAGCTTGAAGAAAAGTTGGATCGTATGATTGGTGGAGTCGTTGCCACAGGCGATCATGCATGGACCCCTAGCAAGAGTGGGTTTATTGGCATAGCTGAGCATGTGGATGTCGAGCTAACTTTTGGTTCCAATGAAGCCCCCAGCCCTAACCTTAATAGACTTGAATCTACTAGTTGATCTAAGCTTCCTAGGGTTGAGAAAAAAGAAAAAAAAGTGGTGTTTTTATTAGAAACTAAATTTCATAGTTGCTTTATGCAATAATTACCCTGACACATCATGAGTAAATTTCATTCAACAATTAATACGAATTCTGGAAGTAACTCGAGAAATTTGACTTGTACTTATTCACTATGAAGTTGTTTGAATATCCAACCTAGAGAGAGTTCTTTATGGCAATGAGCCCTGACCATAGGGTCAATTATTTACGTTATTTTGTGACAATAGGGACGCTTAAATTCAATTTTTTATAGTTGGACAATTTATATATTTTTTTCATTGGGACAGTGCCTATGCTACTTTGGATATAGTTTGATTTTTTATGGCGGGCAATTTTATTTGCTTTTCAAAATTTATTTATGATTGTTGTTTGTTTAAAACATATTTTGATAGTAGCTAATTCAATGATTCTTATGTGTGCTAGCTGCATAAACAATGAATAATATGCACAGAGAAAGACGCAAAAGAATTGCAGCTGCGTTGTGTTTGATGTATGAGCATTACAACTTCTATATTGCTCGCTCGCCTTGTATGACAACTTCATACATTTGCGATAAGTGGTTTAAAGAGTTGCTTGTAAGAAACCCAACAATATTTAGCAATATGCTCCGTATGACAACCCATATTCATCGATCTCTTGGAAAACTTGCATAGTAATTATTAACTTCATGACTCCTCCAGGATGACTTCCAACTAGGTGTTAACAATAACCCTCTACATTTTATCACAGAATGAATCTATGTGATGAGTTATGGAGCTATTACAGCAATCATCTAAAACAATCAGTAGATATTTTTCAATTGGGTTGAATGTTCTAGTCAGTTTCTCATCAGAAATTATCAAACCCGATGACCCAACTTTCTGAAGAACCCTCACAGAGATTTCACAGGACCCGCGATATATGTCATATTTTAAGGTCATTTTATTTATTCATTTTTTCTAGAATTCAAATGAATACAGTAATTTGGATACCCTTGTTAAATGCTTTAGAATTGTATTAGAGTGATCGATGAAACACACGTGGATGAACGTATTTTGAATAATCAAAAGATTGCATTCATTAGGCGATGAAGCTCAACAATAAAAATTATCATGGTTGTATGTGACTTTAACATGTACTTGACATTTGTTATGTCTAGTTGAGAAGATAGTGCACACAACAGTTGTATATTCAAATTTGTCATAACAATTCAAAAATACAACTTTCCGCAGCCATCCCGAGATGCTTTGCTTGTTTCAACTAATGAGAAAGTGTTTTCACTGCAATACTAATTATTATATTTATGTCAGATAAATATGATTTGGTCAATGTGGGATACTCCTTAAAAAAAGAAATTTTTAAAGTCATTTCCTGATACTGAATACTACATTCCTAATTTTGAAAGAGCTAATAACGTTGCTTGTGGTAGAAAAGAGATATTTAACAAGAGATACTCATCCTTACGCGGTGTCATTGAAAGAACATTTAGATTTTGGAAGAAAAAATGGGTCATATTGCGGGATATGGCGACATATCTGTTTCTTAAATATGTGCAGATTGTGGTCGCCACAATAACTCTCCACAACTACATTCGGCGGCATGCTTCACGCAGGGACATTGACTTTAATAGGGCTGATGAAGATCATTCACATGTCCCTGTTGAAGTATGAATATCACCTAGGACAATCTTTATCACATGTTGAAAGTAATTTGCTTGAGACTTGCACCTAAGATGAGGAATGTGCAGGGGAGATGGTAGACTTGAGAGAGCGAATTCTAGATGCTATCTTTGGCGGTTGAATGGAGCGAATTTTTTTTCTGTTTTTTTATTTACAATGTATTGTCTAAACATTTATTGTTTATTTTATTGATGTTTTGTGCAATGATGTACATTTTGAATTTCAATGTTATTTCTAGTTATTTTGCATAAATTTTTTCTCTTGGATGGCTGGTGAGACAACTATGAGTATAATATGTAATATAAGTTCTTATTGCATGTTTTATTTTTTATTTTGGAGGTCTATGATGAAACAGTCGACCTTATGGGTTCTTTTGGATGACCTATATGCTGTTATTGGTTCTTAACACGTGTGAAATCACAATGAGTGCAACAAGTTTCTCTCCTTTTTCAGTCCTTATGATTTCTTTTGGATGACTTTTTTTATGATATACATATGTGGCATATACGAGCTTGGTATTACGAGGTTTAATGACAACCAAGAATCCATATTTTTTCTAAGGTTCATTGTCTTCTTATAGTGACAGATTCGTTGGTGTATATTCTGCTCTCTGAGACCTCACAGTTTCATAAAACTTGAATCGAATATTTCTACTATTATTCGTTACTAATGTTCCATCTTAAAGTTTGTGTTTTGTGATTTTCAACCTTCGGAAAAGATGAGTCTAAGGACTTTCAGTACCTCTAGAGCATTGTTTTGCTACTGTGGATTACAATGTTCCGTGCTTACCTCGCGGCAACCATATAACTATGAGAGACAATTTTACAGGTGTCCAAGAAAAATAATAGAGAACTGTGACTTTTTTAGGTGGACGGATCGGTTTGAGGATTCCACCGTTGAAGGATTTTCTCGCGACATTAACCAACTGCATTTTAAAAATAATATTACGATGTTATTAAGTATTATTTTAATAGTACTTTTTTTTTTAAATTTTCATTGTTTAATTACTGTTTTGTGAGGTGTTTTTTTTTATTTTGTAATATTCAAATTGAATATTTGTTTTCAAATATGAAATGTGCTAGCGACATTGGTTATGTTGTAAACAACACTATGTTAGACTGGCAGAAAAATCATTTATTCAAAATAGATGCAATACAACAGTTGCAAAATTGCAAAAAAAAGAAACAGACAACCAGCTTCGCTGCAGCTGCGCCAAACAAACCCTTATTGTCTCATTCTGGTTGTGGATCATCTCAAACTGCTATAAATAAGTAGTTTGAGATAAATAAACATTTATATATATGTGCATCTAAATTAGATAAGTCAATACGATTTGATTTAACTTGATAAAATACACAAGAAAATGTGGAACTAGATTGAGAGCATGAGTTACATCCAAAAATTCACGGTGCTAGCACAAAGTTCTTTAAAGCAAACCATTTTGGGATAAATTTCGAATTTGGAATAATTTAGCTTAAATTAAAAATCATTGTTTTCTAATTTAACTAAATGTATAAGCATCAAATTACTGATTACAACATTGGATTAACACCACATTATTGAACCCGATCCAAAATTTTAGTAGTTGGTAGAAGATAAAAAGATACTAAAAGAAATAACGAGTAAGAATAAGAGGAGGAGGAGAAGATGATAATGGGGGATGAGATATCGTCGTCTTACAGTCTGCAAAGATAGTGAAGTAGTGGAAGAAAATGGCAGTGGTTGCGTGGTGGCTTCCACTATGAATTCATTTTCGACTGATTAGGAAGAAGAGCTTGTGATTAGTTCCTTCTGATTAATAAATTAAATAATTTCTTGTAACACTTTTGATTAGTTCCTTCTGAAGAATAACTTGTATCATTCCTCCTGGCACCTTTTGGATAGGGAATCACATATGCTTTGAAAAGACATTATGAAACATATCTTCTGGAGTATGAGTTAGCTCATAATGATGTAACTATCAATCAATGTGTTCTTTGTCAGAGGTATGCTTCCTTTCCGTTTACTTTTAAATATTATTTTTAACTCTCCCTATGATTAACAATATATTAGCTTATATCAGTAGCACTCCTGGAGATTGGCTGAGTTGTGCAAGGTGCAGCAAATGGGTTCATTTAGGTTGTGATAAAAGATCTCTTGCTGCTTTCAAGGTGTGTTATCTTTGCCAACTTCTTATCAATAAAAAATTAGATTTTTAATAGAAATTTATGTTTTTGTGTGTTTATTTGGTCTTTGCTTGAATCCCTGCAGTTACTTTCCAACCCCTCGCTGTTAATCCATTTCTTTATAAATTTTCAATTACTCAAGTACATGCCTATAAATAAAATATTATTAACCTATCACTATATGTATGATTTTAGGATTACTCGAAGACAGATGGCTTGGACTATATCTGCCCGCACTGTGGCTGAAAGGTGACTGGCGTACAGTAATTTATCAAAGAAGCATTAGGTGATATATCTTTCATTTTACATTGTATTTTCTACATATGGTTTGTACATCGAATCAGCATATTTGCATGGACTACAAAATTAGAAATGGAACAATCAAGTAGAGGCTGAAGTTGATTTTCATCATTTGCTGTGTTTTCATTCCCTCATTTTTTGTGCTTATTTTATTTTATTAACAAATCTTGTAACTTAAAACGTATTTTCTTAAGCCAAGCTCATTAAAATGGGTTATATAGGATCTGAAATCAGGCTTGCTTTGAGCAATTTCTATGTTGGATTGTGAATGATTATGGTGGCACCTTTTGACATCTTCTTTGCCTAACTGTTAAAATCAGTTTTTGACAAGGACAATAAAGAGGAGCACGTCCTACATGTAATTATTAATATTTTTTTTTAATTTTCTTTTTATTTTTAATTTTTTTCATACTAGATATAAGCAGGTGCCCAATTTTAAATGACAACAGCTAAAAAGCTTTGAAGGGAGTAAAATAGATGTATTCTTTTCAGTATTAGAAGACAACTTATGGTGGTTTTATAATCAATAAATATTCATGACCAAGGGATTACGATGTTTGTTTTTTTTTTTTTTTTGGGTTTTTGACCTTCAGATGTTATTGGCCCTTTGTTGTTTTCATAACCATACATCGGTCCTTTGTTTTTAGCGTTTTCTTTTGGAAGATTTACATATATACCACTCAATTCCTATGTATTTACATATCCTGACACCTAAATTTCAATTTTGACATGCATGCCACCTTATTGTACATGAAAAGGTGTAGGTATTTAACTTTTTAGATGTTAAAACTGGGGGTATTTTTGATGTGATATGAAAATGTAAGAAGTGAATTTTAGGGGTGATATGTAAATACATAGGAATTGGGTGGGTGGGTATGTATGTGTGTGGCCCTTCTCTTTTTTGTCTCTCGGATATGCTGTCCTAATGGAACCATCTTTTACTTTGAGCTACATCCTGCTGCAATTAATGTATTTTTACATCAACTTAAATCTTGAGGATAAGTAGTTGGAGACATGGCAAGGATTACTCGAGCAAATGATTGGTCAATGTCAAAGGTCGCTCGAATGTAGAGAATGAACGACCTGAAAGCTTAACAAAGTTGCATCAGCACCAACCTCTTGAAACCAAGCAAGTAACAACTCTAATATACATATATTTAATAACTTGAATATAAGTCATATCAATACCTTTCTTCTTTGTAAGTCTCAAAAGGATACCTCTTGGAACCTTATCGTAAGTTTTTTTTCTAAATCAATAAAAATCATATGCAGATCCTCGTTATTCTCTCTGTACTTCTCCATCAAACCTCTCAATCAATGTATAACTTCCATAGTAGACCTGTCTGACATAAATCGAAACTGATTATAAGAAATCTTAGTAATGTGTCTTAACCTATATTCAATTTTCCTTTCCCATAATTTTAAATTATGACATATCAACTTAATTCCTCTCTAATTTGCACATTCTTGTGCATCCCCTTTAATCTTAAAAATTGGGACCAAAATAATCATCCTCCATTCTTTAAGCATCTTTTTAGCTTTTAAAATAATATTAAAGAGTTTAGTAAGCCAATAAACTCTAAATTCTTCTAAATATTTCCACACTTCAATTGGGATATCATCAGACCCTACAAACTTTGCACCCTTGGTTTGCTATAAAGCCTCCTAAACTTTTTTTTACAAATGCAACAATAAAAATAAAATATTTTATTAGTATTATTTATATTAAGATCACTGCAGTCGATTGTATTTTCAGAAATTTCATTGAAATGTTTCTCAAAATTACTCCCCATTTAAGTTGAATATCTTTTTCTAAGAAATGCACTTGTTGATTTTCTTCTTTAATACATTTTACTTGAGTTTAATCTTTACTTGTCTTTTCTTTGTTTAGCTAGTTCAGGCATATATTTTCACCCTTTTTAGCATCTAATATAATATGAAGATCGCTAAAAGACGAAAAGCAGAATTTTTAGCGTCACATATTGGTCTCTTAGACTCCCTACAAATCATTTTATATTTTTCTTACTTATCTGAGCTTTTACATTTAAACCAATTTTTATAATATAAATTCTTATATTTTATCTTTTCTTGCCTATTTTATTCCATTAGCAACTATTTTTATTTATAAAACTTATACTTTTCATTCTCAAATTACATCTTCTGCAACTTGTTTAATAATGTTTGTTTCTTTATTCCATATATAATTTGCTTCTTCATGAACATTCCAAATCTCGAAATCTTGAAGTTTACTTATAAAAATATTATTATCTGTCTTTTAGGTGCTCCCATATAAATCTATGTCAATTGTTTCTAATATTCTTTATTTTACAACTCTTCATTTTAAAATCTAGAACTAAAAATCGATGTTGGGTATTTAAATTCTCACTTGGAAAGACCTTACAATCATTACATTATTGACGATCTCTTCTTCTCATATGAAAATAATCAATTTGTGTTTTGCTTGATCCATTCTTACTAGTAATAATATGCTCATTTCTTTTCTTGAATAAAGTAATAGCAATAAGAAAATTATATGCTAAAGCAAAATCTAATGTCTCTAAAATCTTCACTAATCACTTGAAAACCGTAACCGCCATGAATATTTTTAAAACCGACATGTTCATTTAAATCTCCTCCAATAAAAAATCTTTTTTCAAGAGATATCATTTGTATTAAATCTTCTAAGTCTTCTAAGTCATTCCAAAATTTATCTAAACCTACTTGAGAAGCATAAACACTTATAATATTAAAAATCTCAGTATCAGTAATAATCTTAAGGGCCATAATTTTATCCCCAACTCTAATAATTTTTACAATATTAACTTTCAAACTCTTATATATAATTATACTTACATCATTTCTTGTATGACTCCTACATGATTATAAATAAAAAGTCTTTTTTCAAGAGATATCATTTGTATTTATTAATTTAGTAACTCATTAAATGTAGTAAAGTTCCCTTTTTAATAGAGGACAACCATGTAACTTTAAAATCCTACCTATAAGTTGGCGGACAATTTTTCAAAGGGAAAATAAATAGAATCCTAATTAAAAACTAAACAACAACAACAAGTCTTTATGCCATTAAGCGTGGTTAGCTATATGAATCCTTTTTCTATATTGCGTCTTATTGAGTGTCATATTTTTATTTAATTCTAATAAATTAAGGTCATTTTTATATAATAAGCCCAAGTCTTTTTGAGTATACCTCAGTCTTTCTTAACATAAGCTGAATTTAAAACATCTACTTTCCTAATCGGGTCATCAGATGGTCGACGTTTAATGTGATAAAACCTTCTAAGACTACTCTCTCTAATTTTTTCCCCCACAGGAGTTATATCAACCCTATCACAGATATATTCATTTCACATTTTGTCTCTAAGTGTAAAACCACTCATCCATCTAAGCATTCTCATCTCACCTTGAATATAAGTCATATCCACACATGTGCTTCTCTTTTAAAGGCCAATATTGTGCGTCATAGAGCGTTGCAGATCTCACCACCATCTTATAAAATTTTACTTTCAGTCTAAGTATTACTTTTCTCTTACTTTTCTATCACACAATAGACTCGAATCATTCCTCCACTTCAACCAATCAACTTGAATTCTACTAATATCATCCCCATCTATATCACCATCACTTTGAACAATAGATCTAGGATATCTAAAGTGCTTACATTTTTTAAGAATTTGATTTCCCATAGTTGCAACTTACAACTCTATCACTAGAGCTACTACAACTAAAATTACATTCCATGTATTCAGCTTTAGTTCTACTCAAACACCTTTAAACTCCAATGTAGACCTCCATAATTCAAGATTTTTCTGAGCTCCTCTAGTCTTATCCACAAGAAGGATATCATCAGCGAAAAGCTTACCTCAAGATAGATCCTTCTGTAAATGTTCAGTAAGAGCATCCAAAATTAAAGCAAAAAAGATACGGGCCTAAAGCCGATCCTTGATATAATCCAACTGAAATAGGAAAATGTTTGGTCAATCCTCCTTTTGCTCGAACGCAAGTAACAACTCTAATATACATATAATATACATATCTTTAATAACCTTTAATGAATTGAATATAAATCCTCTCAACATCTTTCTTCTCTATAAGTCTCAAAAGGATGCCTCTTGGAACTTTATCATAAGTTTTTTTTCTAAATCAATAAAAATCATGTGCATATCCTCATTATTCTCTCTCCTCATTATTCTCTCTGTACTTCTTCTCTGTACTTCTCCATCAAACCTCTCAATCAATGTATAACTTCCATAGTAGACCTGCCTAACATAAATCGAAACTGATTATGAGAAATCTTAGTAATGTGTCTTAACCTATATTCAATTTTCCTTTCCCATAATTTTAAATTATGACATATCAACTTAATTCCTCTCTAATTTGCACATTCTTGTGCATCCCCTTTAATCTTAAAAATTGGGACCAAAATAATCATCCTCCATTCTTTAAGCATCTTAAGCATTTTTTTAGTTTTTAAAATAATATTAAAGAGTTTAGTAAGCCAAGAAACTCTAAATTCTTCTAAAATATTTCCACACTTCAATTGGGATATCATCAGGTCCTACAAACTTTGCACCCTTGGTTTGCTATAAAGCCTCCTAAACTTCTTTTTTACTAATGCAACAATTAAAATAAAATATTTTATTAGTATTATTTACATTAAGATCACTGCAGTCGATTGTATTTTCAGGAACTTCATTGAAAAGTTTCTCAAAATAACTCCCCATTTAAGTTGAATATCTTCTTTTAAGAAATGCACTTCTTGATTTTCTTCTTTAATACACTTTACTTGAGTTTAATCTTTACTTGTCTTTTCTTTGTTTAACTAGTTTAGGCATATATTTTCACCCTTTTTAGCATCTAATATAATATGAAGATCGCTAAAAGCAGAATTTTTAGCGCCACATATTGGTCTCTTAGACTCCCTACAGGTCATTTTATATTTTTCTCACTTATTTAAGCTTTTACATTAAACCAATTTTTATAACATAAATTCTTATATTTCTTATCTAAGCTTTTACATTTAAACCAATTTTTGTAACATAAATTCTTATATTTTATCTTTTCTTGCCTATTTTTATTCCATCAGCAGCTATTTTTATTTATGAAAACTTATCTTTTTCATTTTCAAAGTACATTTTCTTCAACTCGTTAATAATGTTTGTTTCTTTCACATATAATTTGCTTGTTCATGAACATTCCAAATCTCGAAATCTTGAAGTTTACATATGAGGCTTGAGACCTGACAATGAGAGTGTTTCT